GTCGTATTACTAAGAGTCAGGAAAATGTTAAGTCCTTCTCAGCTAGTGTTTCTGTATAGAAAAATACTATAGCATGGCCAGCATGGCTCAGAGGTCAACCTATGAACCAGAAGGTCATAGCTCGATTTCCAGTCAGAGCACATGCCCAGGTTGCGGGATCGATCCCTGGCGTGGGGCATGTAGCAGGCAGCTGATCAACGATTCTCTCCATATAATTATTTGTAAGATTTATATATTTTTGTTGTTAATCCTCACCTGCCAATACTTTCTTCCATTGGTTTTAGAGAGAGTGGAAGGGAGAGAGAGACCCATTGATTGGTTGCCTCCCACACGTACCCCAACTGGGGCCAGGAATCAAGTTTACAGACCAACGTTCTAACCATTGCACAAAACTGGCTAGGGCAAGATTTAGATACCTTTAAAAAGAAACACACAAAACAAGGTTATATATTAATTATTTGATGAACATGTGACAAGAGGCTCCCCAAGAATGTAACCCTCTATTTCCCCTAAGAGCAATGGTTCAGTAGTGACTAATTCTGGACTCACAGCTACTTCAGAAAGCATAGCTATGGTGAATAACAAGAATCAAGTATATTTTCCAGGAGCTCAAAGTTGTTTTCATCTTGACTAGAGGAAAAATATGATACACATTTCCTCCGATTGGACTATCTTGTAAAAGGCATAACTCCTGTTTAATAGCAAACACTCCCACTGATATTATTCAAGTGCCACTAAATTTCTTCTCTGGTCCTAGGACTTTGGGATGTCAGGGGGTGAGTACTTTCCCTATAGAACACAAGCCTTCAGCCCAGCCAGTGTGGCTCAGTGGTTGAGCATCAACCTATGAATGAAGAAGTCACCAGTTTGATTTCCATCAGGGCACATTCCCAGTTTGTGGGCTCAATCCCTGGTGGGGGCCGTGCAGGAGGCAGCCGTCGATGTTTCTAGCTCTCTAAAAAAATCAATTAAAAACATACTTTAAAAAATAGAATACAAGTCTCCAAATAGTATTTGACCAGACAGAATAAAGTATTTCCCTTACTTGATGGGATTTAATACAGTAGCATTCTAAATGGCATTTTCCTTTTGTTCCTTTGCTTTCTGTAGAGAAGTGATGATGATGACAGAAGCAGTGACAGGAAAGATGGGGCTCTTGAAGAGCAAATAGAAAGACTGCAGGAAAAAGTGGAATCCGCTCAGAGTGAACAGAAGAACCTCTTCCTTGTCATATTTCAGGTATTTTGGCTTGGGTCATTGATATGTAAAAAGAAATATATATTCCTTTAGTTTAAAAAATGTTATTTGTAGTTGTAAAAGTTAAAAATACAAAGGAAATAAAAGCTGAGCACTTGGGGTTAACCATGTATATCTCCAAATTGTGTTGCTCATTCAGCATTCTGGCATGAGCATTTTTCCAGGCTTTAAAACTGAGAATGTTTGTTAAATATTTCTCTCATTATGCCCAATCATTGATCACTGAATGACTGTTCTTCTTCTTGATGAACATTTTTGTGCATAGATTCCTCTTTAACATTTCTGATTATGTCCTAAGTAATCTAGACATTAAAGGTCTTTACATATTGCCAAAGAGGATGTACTAACTCAATTACTGGTGTGCCTTTGTAGACAGTATTTGTTGAATTATGAAAGTTACATATCATAAAGACAGCAGAACAGATAGCACCTTTACGGTCTCTTGGTCAAAAGTGTGATTGTTTCTGAAGAATTAATTCACTCTTAACACCTCTAACTCTGTACCCCCTTTCCAGCGCTTTATCATGATCTTGACTGAGCATTTAGTACGATGTGAGACGGACGGGACCAGCATATTAACACCGTGGTATAAAAACTGTATAGAGAGGCTCCAGCAGATCTTCTTACAGGTTTGTGGGAAACTGATTAGATAATAAATATCACTATTCTCAGCTGCAAAGATACTCCATTTTTAAAAATCATAAAATTTGTCAGGAGGTTATATAATACCCATAAGTACTTTAGTTCATCTCCATTTCCTCCTACTGTTGCTCAGAATATTTAGGCTTAAATAAGTTCTTATCACCAACTCCTAATTGCCATTCTCTGCTAGAAAGCCTAGCTTAATACAAAATGCAGAGAACAAATGTTCAGGGAATAGTAATTATATTAACAAAGGTCCTTAAATCTGATGATAACAGTGCCCTTAGAAAAGCAAGATTACATTAAAGCTTGGTAGGAGAGTGGAACTAATTCTGTGTCTTCCAAAACATACAGCCCAAATCCTCATTTATTCTAGAAAAGTTATTGAATTAGAAGTCATAAAAGGGAAAAAAGTTCTTTAAAATCTCCAAATAAAAATTCTCTCTAGATTTAGTTACTTCCAATTAAAACAACCCCTAGTTCTTTTGGGATCTCTGAGTATATTCAAATTATATAGGTGCACATAGAAAAGATTTCATTTTCTAACACAGGCTTAGTAAGTCAGTGATTTCCAATAGGACAGATGAGCTATTTTAAAAAGATTAATAGATCACTGGGTAATTCTCTATTAATGTTTTTCTTTCGCAAAGAGATTCCAAAATTTTTCTTACATTTCAGAACCATGGTTTTAAACAGCAATTGTGCTACTCCTATTTGTAACATATACCACCTTCCATCTTTTAAAAAAATCGTCCTATGTCAATCCCTATCTGGGCTACTTTTATTAAAGTCATACTTGAGAGTAGAGAGACCCAGCTTAACCTAGTCTAATAGTGATAGCAGCAGGCATCACTAATGAGGCATGAATGCATTTATATAGAAGCTGGTCAGAACTGCATTTCTTAAGTTATTGAACATCCTCATTTCCCTCTACAAATGTTGGGGCTTTTCAGGGGCCCGTTATTCCCATCATTTCACAACGTGGGTGGGCTGCTGAGGGGGATATTCTGGAAGATTGCTTATATGCTCCTTTTCTGACCTAAACCCCCACTTTTGTGTCCACAGCATCACCAAATAATCCAGCAGTACATGGTGACCCTGGAGAACCTGCTCTTCACTGCTGAATTAGACCCTCATATCCTGGCTGTGTTCCAGCAGTTCTGTGCCCTACAGGCCTAAGGGTCCTTTCTCCTTTCATGTCAAGATGTTTTTTTAAAGTCTAATTTGTCTTATTTCGGATGGTTTGAATGCTTGCTTTCATGTAGCTCCTTTCACTTTCTAAAGGAAACAGGGAGGACAGTGAAGAATATGACATTGGTTGCCTGTAATTACCCCTAAAACAATATTCCCTAATGACAATGTGACGATCGATGACCATAGGATGTATTATATGTGACAGATACAACTTTTCTGATAGACGTTTTTTCTCCTTAAGGCACAAAAGATAACTGATTTGAGGTATGTGAACCCTAGAGGTCAAGCTTACAAAGTAGTATATAGAAACAATGGGTTTATTACCAAGTAGCATAGCTTTTCACAGCTTATGGATAACCTAACATGGCTAAAATAAAACTAAAAATATGTTTTTTACATTTTGGTATTTCATGATTTATCATCTCAGTCTACTTTAAAATTAGTGATTTCTTACTGAAGGTGTACTTACCTCCATTTGAAGTTTTCCCTTCAAATAGTTGTATTTAAAAAGTTAGAGTAGCAGTTCCTAAATCTGTCTGAACATAAGTCACCTGGCAACCTTCAGCAGTTATTTTTAAAATTACAATTTCGGGGGGCGTGCAACACATACCATCCATAGTTTTTAAGGCTTCTGTGCAATTCTAATGCGCAGACAAGTTTGGGAACCATTATCTTAGAGGTCGTGGTCATTTCCTCCAGAAGTAGCTAAATTGGCTAAAACTCTATACTTGGGATTAGATTTAGGTTTGGAAGAACCTGGTCCAAATAATACTTATTTCTGAGCCTGTTTCCTATATGGTGTTGAGACTTAACTAAGATAATGAGATTGCACTGTAAAATAACATACAAATTTAAGGGATTATCTAGCATTTTGACTTTTTTCATTAAACCTTAGAAAAAATTTACTAATAAAACCCCACAACTGGTCCTAGCTGGTTTGGCTCAGTAGTAGAGCGTTGGCCTGCGGACTGAAGGGTCCCAGGTTTGATTCCCGCCAAGGGCACGTGCCCGGGTTGTGGGCTCAATCCCCAGTAGGGGGCATGCAGGAGGCAGCTAATCAGTGATTCTCTCTCATCATTGATGTTTCTATCTCTCCCTCTCTGAAATCTATAAAAACACAAATGGTAGTATTTTTGAGCATTTGTGCAACATAGAATAAGTTTTAAAAAGATAACCTATCATAAGTTTACAATGCATTCATTCTTATTAACATATATGACCTCTTTGGTTTACCATATATTTAGTAACTATAAAATATAGTCTACTCAGATGCCATTTACCATCTTTTGTCAAAGTGAACATATACTTTTGTTTTCCCCAATTCTAAATTTCCCTTCCAGGAATTACTCAGGAAGCAGTTCCTATGAAGATAAGTTTGTTTGCTTTTACTAGAAAAATATTTAGTAGTGAACTTGCCAACCTAACCAGAGCAGACCTGGCTGTCAATAGTAACTGGATACCAGGATTGTCTTAAAATGATGAAAAACAGTGACTAGAACTATATCTCAGCTAGACAAATCTGTAACTGTTGGTCTTGATGACAATATGTGCTCATTAACGAGTGCCTATTATGTTCCACAGTCTACAGATTCACCATATTCAATCCTCATCAGTTTTTAAGAGATGTGTTATTGTGCCCAGATAAAATCGGCCCAAATCCAAGTAACTTACCCAAGGTCCACAGCTAGTAAATGAATCTGAACCTAAATCCATGTGGCTCAAGGGCTCCTTATCTCCCAATGCAGTAATGCTGTTGTCAGCAGCCTGAACTCCTAGTTACTCTGTTGTCAGCAAGCTGGAAGCTTTTTTTTTTTGTCCCAGGAAAGTCTTCTGCCCGTTCAGAATCAATTTTTATTGAGCTGTAATATTTAGCATAGCATATTAAAAAAAAAACCAACACAAAAAAATATATTTAACATTTCTGTATTGAATACTTATGAAGAGAGTAATTAGTAATTATAGTCAAGCCTCTTTGGGTTTGACTTGTTTTGACTTTTGCCTTTCTTGGTCAGGTTTTTGGTTATCATTTCCTTTCCAAGTGCTAAATAAGCAAAGAAGCAAGCTGTCTTCCCTCCCAGGATTTAATTAGAATATCTGTAAGGCACTTAGCATAATGGTTTTCTGGCACATGGTAAGTGCTCAGTAAATGTTAGCAAGTAATGACAAACTTACTATAATTACCTTCCTGGTTGTTTTTCCATTTTAATCCAGATTTGAACAGGGCTATGTAGCAACTAATATTAGGGCCTATACTAAACCCTACAAATACAGAAAACATGATCAGACCCCTACAATTCATTCTTTATTCCTGTTATTAACCAGGACTTGTCCTAGTAGTAGTTCCTTTTTTGCTGACTTGGCAGGGTTTACCACTATTCCTGTTTCTTGGAGTAAGAACCCAGTGCAGCCAGCTTTTGCCTTTACTAAAACTCATCCTCCTACCCCAATCGAAAGTTTGCCTTGGTTTCATATTTCTGAACTTTAGCTATCATCTAACACTTTTAAACCTACTGTACCACTCAGCTCCCATCCCTGTTCCAGAAAAAATTATCAGACCACTTGCTCTTAAGCCATACCATACATACTTAGTACTGAAGCATTATTTATACAACTGTTTCACCTATAAAGACATTTTTGTGAATTTTGAATAAGACCAATGTAAATTTCTTATATCTAAACCTAAAACTCTGTAAAACAGATCATTTAACTAAAAATCACATTTTCTCATACGTCAATTCATGGCCACATACAGTACAAATCTTCCGGTACATGTCATCTTCTAGGTTTTCTTCTGGTCCATACTCATGTTGGTGAGCAACCACTTCCCTTTTCCATACACTGCTTCTTACTGCTCGCCGTAATTCTAAAGGGAGAAGAGAGAAAAAAAAAACAGGTTTTTGTGTGTGTGTTTAATATATTTTTGATTTCAGAGAGGGAGATAGAAACATCAATGATGAGAGAGAGTCATTGATCGGCTGCCTCCTGTATGCCCCACACTGGGGATCAAGCCAAGTCCACAGTCCTGATGTGCCCTGACCGGGAATCAAACCATGGCCTCCTGGTTCATAGGTCAACACCACCACTGAGCCATACGCCGGCTGGGCAAAATGACAGTTTTTTAGTAGTGCTATTCAGCTAAAATCCATCAGGTGTGTAGGTATGTTTAAACAAAATATGGTTTGCCTTAACTTTAACAAATCACGATTATACAAACTTACCTCACCAGGTTGACCAGTCAAATCATTCATGCCTCTGGAGTAGTATGAAATAGATTCAGAAATGGAGTGTGTGGGTTAGAGAGAGAGCAAAAAAAACCACAAAACACACAACAAATTAAGAAGATGAGTAAAAGAACAGGATTTGTTCAAGCAACTGCCTATGGAAGACAGGTTGCCACAGCAGCAAGGGGAAGTCTGTCTCTTCCTCTAATAACTTCAGTTTCTAGTTTAATGAACAAAAAGCAACAGTAATTGTTATACTTTTTTCTATTCTAACCAATGATCCATCAAGCCCAGCACTGACAGTAGCACAACCTAAGGGAGAGTATGATAGTTATCTTTTATGTCAACCATAAAGATCAACATGCACCAAGTAATCACATTTTCTTTACTCCATTTTAGATCTGTAATAAGTAATATCAAAATGCTACCTGAGTCTTTGTATTTTCAGTCTTTATCATATCATGAGGATAAGCAAACATTTATAGAGCTATGTATCAGGCACTGCTCTACGCACTGTATAAAATACATTTAATCCTCCCAATCCTTTGAAATAAGTACAACTACCATCCCAATTCTATAGATGAGAAAGCTGAGGCACAGAGAAGTTACATAACGTGTGCCATAGGTCAAACAGGTAGCTGATGGCAGAGACAGTCTAGCTCAGGTCCGTGTTGTTAACCACAGCTGTGCTGCCTTTTCATCCCTCCTGTACGAAAAGCACTTGATCTGAGACGATTTTTAAGCTTCAGCGTGCACACCTTAAGGTAGTTTGTGTTCACCCAAAATCTAAGCTTGATTCCTATTATCCTATTATCTCATACTTTGAAGAACCCTAATTTTTCTAGACATCTGAAATGCCCTCTAGGCCTTTTATCTTAGGCCAGTTTATAAATAACTGAAATTATAAGCTAACCAGAACTTCACAGCTGCCTCATGGTTTCAGATGACAGGAAAATGTTTCCTGTTTGAGTACCAATACCTGCTTTTCAACTTTGCTCTGGTGTAAGGTATCCCGGCCACTTTCTCTTGCCTGCCCCACAGAAAATCTCTCAAAATCTGACTGCATCCCAATCACTGCTAAGCTAACCTCTGCCTAAATTTGAGCATTATGTGAATTTAGGGGGAGAGAGAGAAGGAAAGTATTAACACTAAAAGAATACCTAACCCTGCCCTAACTGGTTTGGCTCAGTGGATAGAGCATCAGCCTGCAGACTCAAGGGTACCAGGTTCGATTCCGGTCAAGGGCATGTACCTTGGATGCGGGCACATCCCCAGTAGGGAGTGTGCAGGAGGCAGCTGATCGATGTTTCTCTCTCATCGATGTTTCTAACTCTCTATCCCTCTCCCTTCCTCTCTGTAAAAAAATCAATAAAATACTTTTTTAAAAAAAATACTTAACCCAAATCTAGTTTAGTAGCCATGATTGGTCATACCTTTAGTATTTACTAGATATTTCTAGGAAAATATGGTAGAAAATAAGAAAGTACTAAAAAACTGATGTTTGTCATTTTCTTGCCCTTTTCCTTCCTGGAACAATCCAGTCCTAAAACCATTATTAAGTGGAGCGAATAAAGCAGGCATCCATGGTGGGGGGGCAGCCCAAGAAAGGTAAGGAGGATCTCCCTACCGAGGAGGCAGCAACAGTAATGGGAGATTAGTTACATACGGGGCATTAATCAGCTATCGTAAGGATAATGGGAATCAGGTTTCTCACTGTCAGGAAAACAGAATGAACGCTGAATTTTTTGATTGGGGTTTATCAATGTGAACTCAAGGTTTTAATTTTTATATATGTGTATATGGGCAAACATAAAAATATAGTAAATAAACATGTGTTTTGTGTAGAAAACAAGAGTAATCAACAAATTATAAAGACATGTCAAAAGGACTCAGAGCTAGTCTGAAGGTACTCCTGCCCTGGCCAGGTGACTCAGTTGGTTGCAGTGACATCAAAAGGTTGCCAGTTCAGATTCCTGGTCAGAGCACATGGCTAAGTTGCTGGTTCAATCCCTGGTCAGGACACATATGGGAGGCAACCAATCAATGTTATTCTCTCCTTCCCTGCCTCCTCTCTAAATTGATAAAAACATATCTTCAGGTGAGGATTAAAAAAAACAATAATACTCCTATTAGGCCAAATCTGGGACAATTTGAGCACCAAAATAATTGACAGAAATGAACCTCTTGTGAAGAATAGGAATTAACCCCTACCAATAATAAACAAATGTGGGAAAGGATGCTGGTTAAATGCAGAGGGAGTGCTAAAGTTAGAAAATTTTTGCAATCATCATACTCAAGACTGGCTCAGGCAAGAACCATCCATGGATAGTTGCTAAACTCTAGGGGGAAGTGTTAAGGATATTTGCAAGCCTTACAATTTTATTTTTGTTTGTTTATGCTTATCAAATCAAAAATAAATATTAACACCACCATGCCTCCAGATGTGATGCCCTGAGAAAGACACATCATTTATGTGCTATCCCTGAAATGCAAAACCAGAATCTAACCATGAGGGCAAATGAGAAAAGTCCCAAATGAAACACATTAGTATTTCTAAAGAAGTCAGGGCTTGGGGAGAGGAGAGACTTAAAAAATGACATTGTCATAAAGGATAAAGCCTGTGGAAATGGTGTAGAATAAAAAAAATTAGAAAGACATGGTACCTAAAGCCAATACCTGATGCTAGACTGGATCCTATACTAGAACGAAAAATCATACAGGACATTACTGGGTCAGCTAACAAAACTAGAATATGGATGACGGATTAGATAAGAACATCAACATTATGCTTTGACTTTATAAGAGAACATCCCTATTAGGTAATACTATAGTATTTAAGAGTAGAATGACGATGTATACAACCTACTCAAAGGGTACAGAAAAAAACATATATAGAATGCAAATAATGAAGCAAATGGCGTAAGTGTTAAGAATAGGTAAATTGGAGTAAAGTCTATATGGGTATTTCTTTGTACTATTCTTACAATTTTATGTAAGTTTGAAATTATTTACAAATAAAAATAAAAGACAGGAGCTAGCTTGAAGGGGCTTCCACTGGCCAAATATGAGACAAGCATCAAAATAAATGATAGAAATATGGATTATAACACTGGTTTGAGAATAAGAACCCATGAATCCAAATGGTACTAAAAATGCTCTTTTCCAAAAGAAGTCAAATAGCAATTATAGAAAGAATAACAAATAGAAAATCGCCATTTACATGCACCCTAATAATAACTGACTCAGGCAAGAATCATTCCATGTACTAAAACCACTGAGTGAAATTTAAGGAACAAGATGTTCACATAGTGTCAAAAAGTCACCCTGCAGGGAAAAGGGTGGCTGAAGAAAACTGGCAGATGCTGCCTTAACCCAGCAATCAAACTGAGTAGCACTCTTCGAGAGCTGGTATGTGATGCACTCGACATATCACCTAGGAAGCTTCCTACCAAAACCGTTCCACCTGAATCTAATTATGAGGAAACAAACTGTGAATAAACCCAAATGGAGGGACATTCTGCACACCAAGTGGCCTGGACTCTCCAAAGAGGGAGCCTCTATCAGTTTATGTTACTTGTGAAATGTAAAAATGAAATTGTCAACTCTTAGTTTTAAAAAATGTCAATATCATGAAAGATAAAAAGACTGAGGAACTAGGACTAAAGATATGCATCATCCTTGAATGGCCCTAAATCCAACAACTAAAAAGCTGGTAAAGGCACTGGAACAATGGGGGAAAGATACATACACTAGATAACAGATTTATATTAATGTCAAATTTATTGGGTGCGATCGTTTTTAGTTATGCAGAGAATGTCATTGTTTTTAGGAGATAACATGTTGACATAATAAGAATTACAGTGTCTACAAGTAATTCTTAAGTAGATCAGCAAAATATACATGTGGAGAGAGAAAAGCATATATGGCGAACAACATGTGAAATAAAAACTTGTTTAAATAAGATTAATATGTTTTTCACATTCATTTAAACAACTTAAAACTCTGGAAAGTAGAAATCAACTACCTACAGCTGAGAATGAGAAGAGAAGGCAGAAAGGTCTGAGACTAGAAGAGGGGAGAAAGAAGTGATAGGACTGGGAGCTGAGGAAACCTTGGAGGGGGGACAAGCGGGAACAAGCCTAGCAGCATTGAAAGCCGAGCTGAAGCTGGAGAATAAGAGTGGTTTACGGTGTGACAACCTCCTAGTCCCCTGGCTTAGAGTTCCACAGCACAGAAAGCTGTCGACTGCCTCACGGGCTAATTTATTAAAATACTTGCTACTGATATCCTTAGGGACTGTTGGTACTTTTTACCAAAATGAGTTTTCCCTTGTTCCAATGAAAAATTTACTTTCTGCCACTCTAAGACTTGCCTTTTATTTGGTTTAATATCTTTTGTAAAGAGGCAGCCTGTATTCAAAGAAAGAGAGTGTTGCTTAGGAGGTAAACTTAGGAGAACTGGCTAAGGGCAGCCAGATGCTTTTAAATACTTGAAGGGAAGGTGGGAAGTTTTAACATAGGTAGGAGTACCCCTTGTTAACTAGAGGGGAAAAAATCACCAGGAAGTGACGAAACAACATATGCAGACTGGTTTTATTCTATCCTCCATAAACTGAAGCAGAGTAACAGGGAATTGTGTCCTTCACTCTCCTGAGAGACGGCCAAAGACAGTCATCTATACATACAAAAGCCTAAGCGACTGTCCGACCGGTAGCTATGACACGCACTGACCACCAAGGGGCAGACGCTCAACACAGGAGCTGCTAAGCTGCAGTGACTTGGCAGCTACAATTCTTGGGTTATGCACCCGGAACCAGAGAGGAGGGAGCCCGATTCCGGGGTGCATCACCTGAGAACCGCCCTCTTGCAATCTGGGACCTCTCGGGGGATGTCAGCCAGTGTCAGCCCGATTCCCACAGGCCAGGCTGAGGGACCCCACCGATGCACGAATCCATGCACCAGGCCTCTAGCCCATTGCAGAGGTCGTGGGTCTGGCCCTTACAGAAACTTTTCAACTCAATTAGCTAAATGATGAGACCTACTGGCTGTGGCCCCGACGTCTGCCACCCACGCCAGCCCATCCACTTAATATTGATTTCCAGTGGAGGCAGCGAATTTTCCTGCTACCACTCTCAGCTGGGAAATCGGCCACAGCTTACCTCCTTCCAGGCAGACAGTAGTGCCAGTGGGCAACCTCTGGGGAGGGAAGGAGGCGAAGGAGCAGCTCAGGTGGGAAGAAGGAGGTTCCCGCTGCCACAGGACTCTGCCTGGGCAGAAGGGCCTGGGTGGGAACCTGACATTGAGCAGGGTCCTGCCCTAGGCCGACTAGATTCCAGGCTAAGTAAATCCTGTTTGCTAAATAATTGCATTTTGTAGCTAAATGCTCACAAGTCGTTGGTCACTGCCAAACCTAGGGTAAAGTGAGATGAAAGAAGCGAGAAAGATACAGAGAGAAAGTGACATGATATTGGGAGAAAAGAGGAGGGAGCCCGAGAACTGCCCTCTTGTAATCCGGGACCCCTCGGGGGATGTTGGAGAGCAGGTTTTTGGCCCAATCCCCGCAGGCCAGGCCAAGGGACCCCACTGGTGCACAAACCCATGCACCGGGCCTCTAGTAAATCATATATAACCATAGGCCCAAAATGTAAAATGTCCACAAACTTAGAAGGGGCCCCAAATGAAATTTAACCACCCACCTCTTTGCGGGGGGAAGTGCATAGTAACAAAGAGTGAAAATTAATTTTCTTTTTTGTTTTAAGAAGGCTAACCTCTACCAGTACTAAATAAAAGAAAGCTGAGTATAACTTTAAGGAAAAGCCTTCTCTGCCTTATTTGTGTAAAGAAACCATGTTCTGTGTATTTGCACCAATGAAAGTTCCCACCCAATATCAAGGCCAACACAGAGTGCCTTTTTTGAAATCCACTTACGCCGAGTAGCAGTGATGCCATCATTTCTACTTCTGCCTCCTTGAATCTGAGATCTACAACAATTTGAATTTGCTGGCAAAATTCTTTTGTTGTCTTTCACTTTCTCTATATTTACATATAACTTATACCAGTGGTCAGCAAACTGCGGCCCCTTGTGTGTGGCTCTTCCACAAAATACCATGTGCGGGCACGCACGTACAGTGCGATTGAAACTTTGTGGCCACACTCAAGGGGCCAAAGAGCCGCATGTGGCTCGCAAGTCGCAGTTTGCCGACCACTGGTTTATACTATTTATGCTTTCAATTTTCTTTTGTAGTAAGATCAGTTCTTTCTCAAACTACTGAAGTAGGTCATATTCTAAAAGCAGGTAATGTAATCTCTTGCCTTTCCATAAAGAAGTAAACTTTGGATCAGCTCCTTTGTGGATCAGAATCAGAAGACTGCGAGGGAACCAGGTTCCAATTTCTTTTCAACTAAAAACTGTTAGACTTGCTTCTATTCCTCTCTGTTCTGAGACTTCTGAGCAGACTTCATAGTAAGCTCCTTGTTTCCAATCTCTACAATGTGTGCTCCACTGTCAGCCCTTTGTAGCCTAGTCAGGAGGGCAGGAACATATATATCCACCAACCTCTAAACAGCTCAACAAGAAGCCGTAATTGAAGAAGGCATCACACTGACCAATGCACATCAAATACCAGAAGACAATGGAGTCATGTCATACAACAAGAGAACTTAGGTTTCCATATGCAAAAGAAACAGAACATTCTTAGATTTGCAGGGACTTGGAAAATACACCACTCATATAATCACTTGGAAAAATTTCCTCAAAAGACATGCTTTGAGAGGGTCGAAGATGGGGGCCGGCAGGGCGGCAGAGAGAGAGAGAGTGTGAGACAGTGAGGGAGCGAAAAGGGAATGTGTGGACATGTGGTGTGTGTTTGTGTGAGAGAGAGTGTGAAGGACAGTTAAATCCTGCAAGACTTTCAGGGGCTGGCGGACCAGACTCTCTTAGACGGGGAGGCCCCACTACCACTGCAAGCACTCCCAGGTGGCCGGCACTGGTACAGAAACCATGCCATCTTGAAGGGCAGAACTGTTGTGACTAGGAGCCCAGCCTCACCATCACCCAGACTGGCCTCAGACAAAAACCGAGACTCTACAGGCACTCTGAACAAAGACCACAGCTGCAGATCCATGGACATTGTGACTCCAGCCATCCCAGCCTCAGGCTCCTGTGAGTCCTGGAGTGCATTCACCTCCCGCCTACCTGTCACGGTGGCACAGGTCCCACGCATCCCAAGACAGCCCTTGATTGCCGGTGTGTGCAGCTCCCGCCAGCCAACAGCAGCTGCGCCTCCCTATCCCTAAGCCAGCCCCTGTCGGCATGCACACAGCTCCCACCGACCCACAGCATCCATGCCCCCAAGATCACCAGTGAATCTCAGGTGTACAATGTCCCACCAAGCTCACCACAGCAGCTCAAGCCCCGTGCAGCTCGGCACCTGGACCCTTCAGTGATAGCAAAAAATGGGGAGACAAGAAGCAATCCCCAAAGGAAAGAAAAGGAGGGGGGAGGGGGGCCCTTCCCAAGGGACTAAATGAAACAGAGGAATGCAGTATGTCAGAAAAAGAATTCAGCATAATGGTCATACAATTCGTAAACCAGATGGACGAGAAAATCAACCACCTATGTGAGAATCAAGAAGAAATCAAAAGTGACATAGCAACAATAAAAAACACAATGAAAGGTTTTAACAGTAGACTAAGAGAAGCAGAGGACCGAATTAGTGAGGTAGAAGATAGGGCAGAGAAACAAGTCCAATCTGAACAGAAACTGGAGAAAAAAATTAAAATGCAAGAGGAGAGCCTAAGTGAGCTTTGGGACAACATGAAATGAAGTAACATATGTATAAGAGAGGTGCCAGAAGGACAAGAAGAGCAGCAAGGATTAGAGAACCTATCTGGAAAAATAATGACAGAAAACTTCCCTGATATGGGGAAGAAAAAAGTTACACAAACACAGAGAGTCCCAAACAAGATGAACCCAAAAAGAGCCACCTCAAGACACATAATTACAATGGCAGACGTTAAAGATAAAGAATGAATCTTAGCCTTAGCCGGTTTGGCTCACTGGATAGAGCGTCGGCCTGGGGACTGAAGAGTCCCAGGTTCGATTCCAGTCAAGGGCATGTACCTTGGTTGCAGGCACATCCCCAGTAGGGGGTGTGCAGGAGGCAGCTGGTTGATGCTTCTCTCTCATCGATGTTTCTGACTCTCTATCCCTCTCCCTTCCTCTCTGTAAAAAATCAATAAAATATATTTTTTTTTAAAAAGAGTGAATCTTAAAGGCTACAAGAGAGAGACAGAGAGTTACCTACAAAGGATCTCCTATTAGATTACCAAATGATTTCTCAACAGAAACACATCAGGCCTGAAGGGAATGGAATGAAGTATACAAAGTAATGCAAAGCAAGGGACTGAATCCAAGAATACTCTATCCAGCAAGGCTATCATTCAAAATTGAAGGGGAAATCAGGAGCTTTTCAGACAAAAAAAAAAAAGCTCAGGGAGTGTATCACTACCAAGCCAGCAATGCAAGAAATGCTAAAGGGAATGCTGTAAAAAGAAGAAATAGAAAGGGAAGAAGGAAAACAGGCATAAAGAATAAAAATGACTACAAACAAGTACCTATCAATAATAACCTTAAACGTAAATGGACTAAATGCTCCAATCAAAAGACATAAAGTGGCTGAATGGATAAGAAAACAGGACCCATATCTATTCTGTCTACAAGAGTCCCACCTCAGAACCAGGGACTCACACAGACCGAAAGTGAAGGGATGGAAAAATATTTTTCAGGCAAATGAAAATGAAGAAAAACCTGGGGTAGCAATACTTATATCTGACAAAATAGACCTCAAAGTGAAAGCCATAACAAGAGATAAGGAAGGCCACTTCTTAATACTAAAGGGATTGATACAACAAGAGGATATAACTCTGGTAAACATGTATGCAACCGATGCAGGAGCACCCAAATACATAAGAAAAACTTCTGGGAGATTTCAAGGGAGAGACTAACAGCAATATAATCTATAGTAGGGGGCTTCAATACCCCATTGACATCACTGGATAAATCTTCTAAACAAAAAATCAGCAAAGAAACAGTAATCATAAATGACTCATTAGATCAGATGGACTTAATAGACACCTTCATAACATTCCACCCCAAAGCTATAGAATATACATTCTTGTCACATGGGACATTTTTAAAGATAGACCACATATTGGGACACAGGCAAAGTCTCTTCAAATTCAAGAAGACTGAAATCATATCAAGCATTTTCTCAGATCACGATGGCATAATATTAGAAATAAACTACAATAAAAACAATCACAAATAGTCAAACACTTGGAGGCTAAATAGCATGTTATGAAACAATGATTGGGTTACCAAAGAGATCAAAGAATAAATAAAAAAAATCCCGGAAACTAATGACAACGAAAACACAACAATCCAAAATCTATGGGACACAGTGAAAGCAGTCCTGAGAGGGAAGTTCATAGCATTACAGGCCTACCTCAAAAAACAAGAAAACTGGTAATAAATGAACTAACTCTACAACTTAAAGAATTAGAAAGAGAACAACAAGAAAAGTGCATGCATTCTCTTCTTCACCATGTCTTCCCACAAGATTTGCAGGATCAAGAGGTTCCTGACCAAGAAACAAGAGCAAAATCGGCCCATTCCCCAATGGATTCAGATGAAAACTGGTAATAAAACCAGGTACAACTCGAAGAGGAGATATTAGAGAAGAACCAAACTGGACCTATGAGAAATCACACATGAGAGATGACTCACATCCAGGTTGCCTACACCTTTAAATGATTGGAAAGATGCTACTGTCTGGACAGTTGGGGCATTTTAATCGGAAAATTAATGGACTTGTGATTTTGCTCTGATTTTTTTTTCTACAATAGTAGGTTGGTTCAGTAATAAATGTGTGAGACCTTTAAAAAAAAAATTGATGAACCCCTAGCTAGGCTCACCAAGAAGCAAAGAGAGATGACCCAAATAAACAAGATCAGAAATGAAAGAGGCAAAATAACAACAGACCCCATAGAAATACAAAGGATTGTAAAAAAAAAAAATACTATGAGCAACTCTATTCTAACAAACTGGTCAACCTAGAAGAAATGGACATATTCCCAGAAAAATACGACCTTCTAAAACTCAATCAGGAAGAATCAAAAAATCTGAATAAGCTGATAACTATGGAGGAAATTGCAGCATTAATCAAAAAACTTCCAGCAAACAAAAGCCCTGGGCCAGACAACTTCACAGGAGAGTTTTACCAAACATTCAAAGAAGAACTAAAACCTCTCCTCCTCAGACTATTCCAAAAAGTTTAAGAGGAAGGAACACTTCCAAGCTCTTTCTATGAAGCCAGCAATACCCTAATCCCAAAACCAGATAAAGACACTACAAAGAAAGAGAATTACAGGCCAATATCCCCATGAACATAGACAACAAAATCCTCAACAAAATTCTAGCAAATCAGATCCAGTACTACATTAGAAAGATAATACACCATGGCCAAGTGGGATTTATTCCGGAGATGCAAGGATGGTACAATATCTGCATATCAATAAACGTGATATATCACATTAATAAATTAAGGGATAAAAACCATATAATCATGTCAACTGATGCAGAAAAAGCATTTGACAAAATCCAACACCCTTTCTTGAAAAAAATTCTCAGCAAAGTGGGACTAGAGGGATCATACCTCAACATAATAAAAGCCATACATGACAAACCTACAGCCAACATCATACCCAATGGGCAAAAAAACTAAAACCATTTCCCCTAAGAACAGGAACAAGACAGGGATGCCCACCCTCACCACTCCTGTTTGACATAGTACTAGAAGTGCTAGCCATAGCAATCAGACAAGAAGAAGAAATAAAATGCATCCAAATTGGAAAAGAAGAAGTAAAACTATCATTTTTCACAGAGGACATGATATTGTACATAGAAAACCCTAAAGATTCCATCAAAAAACTACTAGATTTAATAAATGATTGGCAATGTAGCAGGATACAAAATTAACACCCAGACATTCTATGGCATTTTATACACCAATAATAAACTCACAGAATGAGAAACAAACAAAAAAAACCCATTTACCATTGCACCAAAAAAATTAAGATACCTAGGAATAAACTTATCAAAGGAGATAAAAGACCTGTACTCGGAAAACTACAGAACCTTGAAAAAAGAGAGGAAGACATAAACAAATAGAAGAACATACTGTGTTCATGGATTGGTAGAATCAACATCATTAAAATGTCCATACTACCCAAAGCAATCTACAGATTCAATGCAATCCCCATTAAGATACCAACAGCATATTTCACAGACCTAGAACAAACTCTCCAAATACTCACCTGGAAGAAAAACAGACACCGAATAGCTGCAGCAATCTTGAGAAAGATGAACAAAGTTGGAGGGATCACAATACCAGATATTAAGCTATATTACAAAGCCACTGTTCTCAAAACCGTCTGGTATTGGCACAAGAACAAACATATAGACCAATGGAACAGAACAGAGAACCGAGAAATAGACCCAAGCCATTATGCTCAATTAATATTTGACAAAGGAGGCAAGAGCATACAATGGAATCAAGACAGTTTCTTCAATAAATGTTGTTGGGAAAATTGGTCAGATACATGCAAAAAAAATGAAACTAGGCCACCAACTTACACCATACACAAAAATAAACTCAAAATGGATAAAGGACTTAAACGTAAGATGGAAAACCATAAAAATCTTAGAAGAATCCATAGACAGCAAAATATCAGATATATGTCATAGCAATATGTTTACCGACACAGCTCCTAGGGCAGTGATGGCGAACCTATGACACGTGTGTCAGAGGTGACACGCGAACTCATTTTTTTGGTTGATTTTTTCTTTGTTAAATGGCATTTAAATATATAAAATAAATATCAAAAATATACATCTTTGTTTTACTATGGTTGCAAATATCAAAAAATTTCTATATGTGACACGGCACCAGAGTTAAGTTAGGGTTTTTCAAAATGCTGACATGCCGAGCTCAAAAGGTTCGCCATCACTGTCCTAGGGCAATGGAAATTAAGGAGAAAATAAACAACATCAAAATAAAAAGCTTCTGCACAGCAAAAGAAACCATCAACAAAACAACAAGAAAGCCCACTGCATGGGAGACCATATTTGCCAATGTTATATCCGATAAGGGCCTACTCTCCAAAATTTATAGGGAACTCATACATCTTAACAAAAAGATAAACAATCCAATAAAAAAAAATGGGCCAAGGGCTTAAATAGACACCTTTCAAAAGTGGACATACAGAAGGCTAAAAGACATATGAAAACATGCTCAAAGTCACTAATCATCCAAGAGATGCAAATCAATACGACAATGAGATACCATCTCACACCTGTCAGAATGGCTATCATCAACAAATGACAAGTGCTGGCAAGGATGCAGAGAAAAAGGAACCCTCGTGCACTGCTGGTGGGAATGCAGACTGGTGCAGTCACTGTGGAGAACAGTATGGCGTTTCCTAAAAAAATTAAAAATGGAGCTCCCACTTGAGCCAGTAATACCACTTCTAGGAATATATCCCAAGAAACCAGAAACACCAATCAGAAAGGACATATGCACCCCTATATTCATAGCAGCACAATTTACAATAGCTAAGATTTGGAAACAGCCTAAGTGACCATCAGCGGATGAATGGATTACTAATACTATGGAATACTATGCTGCTGTAAGAAAAGAAAGAACTCTTACCATTCGCAACAGCATGGATGGACCTGGAGAGCATTATGCTAAGCGAAATAAGCCAATCAGAGAATGATAACTATCACATGATCTCACTCATTTGTGGAATATAATGAACAACATAAACTGATGGACAAAAATAGATAGAGAGACAGAGAAGCATCAAACAGATTGTCAAACTTCAGTGGGACGGTGAGGGAGCAGGTAAGGGGAAGAGTAAGAGATCAACCAAAGGACTTGTATGCATGCATATAAGCATAACCAACAGACACAGACACTAGGAGGGTGAGGGCATGTGCTGGGGGATGGGGGCGGATGGGGGAAGAACACATATGTAATACTATTAGTGTATGTAATACTTTAAACAATAAAAATAAAGTCAGACAGAAAAAAAGTCAAGAACCACATGATATCACTAATATGAGAGATATAAAAAACTAAAAGCAACATATGAACAAACATGAAAAACAAAAACTCATACACAAACCACAGTATGGTGGTTACCAGTATGGGAAGAGGGTTGGGAGGGTAGTGAAAGGTAAAGGGGGTCAAATATATGGTGACAGAAGATTTGACTTTTGGTGGTAAACACACATTGCAATATACAGATGATAAATCAAAAATTCTCTAATTTAAAAGTCTTAAAGTAATCATAAATGTTAACATCAGGCAAAATATAATAGCCCATGAACCAAGATTACGAATCATTAGTTTATTTGTAATGCATCACATGTTTCACTTTGTTATTTGGCAAAATGGACAATAAACACCTGTCAGGCTGTAATGCTAAAAACAAAAACAAAACAAAAAGACCTGCTTCACCCAAACAAGAAATGAATTAAAGAAACCAGCCTTAAGGGATCTAAGAAAAAATTCAGCACAGATTCAAACTCTTCTAGGATGAGGAAAATCCATAGTAGTTTATCTGGTGATTAATAGCAACTTAACATGGTGAGAAAAGAGTCAATAATATGCGAGTTTACTTTAAATATATATATATATATATGAAAATTGTGTAAATCTCAAAAGAAATATTCTATCCATACTAATATTTAAATTACATTACCTTAATAAAACTTTTTATAGAAAAAAAATTAAACCAATACCATAATATTTTATTAGTCAAATTATAAAAATTTAGTCAACTTTAGGTGACATCCTGACCAAACTACAGAAATAGTATCTAAGAAAAACATTACAGACAGAAGAAAAACATTACAGATAGCACTCCTTTTCAAAATATCCCGTCTCTTTTCAGGTACAAAGTTCTAATTCCTTTATCCGTATATTACTATCTGCACTAAAATAGCATCAGGAAAGGGGTTTAAAGAGGCAGCAGAAGGAAAACTTGAGAGGATTCAGGTAACTGGGATTAACAAAAACCCTAGACTAATATGTAATTAGTTTATAAACATGCCCCCTCTTTCTATCCCTCAAGATGCCTTTTGTTACTTTATCCTTCTAGGCTCTCCTTGATGTCGAAGAGAGAAAGGGCTAGGGTAAAACATCGAAAAGATCAAAGAAGTCATTCCAAATCCTCTCAATTAGTCTTTGCAGGTATTTTTGAAGACTGTGGTACAGCAGGGACTAATTTGGGTAAGATTCGTCTGTGAAATGCTCTTATATGGCATAGTTTGCTATAGGAAATCTCTCTCAAAGCCATAAAAGTATGCTTACCTTACCCTCTGATTCTGGAATTGATTTTTTGTTGTTGTTAATTCTCACCCAAGAATATTTTCCATTAATTTTTAGAGAGTGGAAGGGAAGGGACAGGGAGAGACGCAGAGAAACATCAATGTGGGAGACACATCAATTGGTTGCCTCTTGCACTCGCCCCAACCAGAAGCAGGGATCAAGCCTGCAACCAAGGTACGTGTCCTTGACTGTAATTGGACCCTTCAGTCCACAGGCTGATGCTCTATCCACTGGGTGAAACCAGCTAGGGCCAAATTGATATTTTAAGTTAACTGTAATCTATATAAAAGTGTATATAAGGATGTTTATAATGAGGTTATTTGTTCCAATAAAGTTATGATAAACTTCACAAATGTCAACAGTGCTTCCATTTTTTATAAAAAAAACTATTTCTAAGGTGTCTATGAATTGAAAAGAATTGGAAAAACAGACATTGAAATGTTACTAATTGCCTCAGGGTAGTAGAATCATGGGATAGTTCTTTGTAGTTTTCTAACTTTTTTGCACTGAAATGAATCACTCCTATAATGAAAATGAGGGAAATGTCCTCACAATAAGAAACAAGGCAGCTTACATTCAGCTTTTTTTTGTTTTTTTGTTTTGTTTGTTTTTAAGATATCTGAGCCATCTTCATTCACCCTGAAAAACCTAAATTCTAAAGACATAAGCAAAATTATTTTTTATGGCTAAGAGACTAATTTCATATGAATCAATATAGTATATGTATAGCCCTGTATACACATAAAATACATGCTATCTATATACACTTTACACCCTATGTTTCTTACGAATACTGTATGAAAACATTTCTGCCTGCTTTTTAAGATATTTTAAGGATTCTGTGATACAGCAAAAAGTGCTCTTTGTTCTCTTGTAGCAACCTGTGTTCACCATTATCACAGTCCGTTTCACACTCTATTATGATTTTAAGTTTGCTAGTCTTTTTCTTCTGACAAACTGTGACTCCAACATTTACATCAGCACAGTGCCTAGAGCACAGCTGACACATTAATTACTGGATACACTGATGAATGGAGGGAGGGATGAAGACTTATGCACATATGCATACACAGATGGATGCATGGACAAATAAACAGAGATAGATGGACAACAGAATGGATAGTCACATGGACAGGCAGATGTATGGACAGAGAAATTAATGTGCCAATGCAGACTTTCAGTCATAAAAGCCTGGTCCCAACACTCATAATTATGTAACAGGTCATTCTATCTTTCTAAGTTTTTTATTCATATGCTAGTGACGTGGTGGACGGATTCATGCACATTGAAAGGAAATTAATTAGAAGGTGGCTGGCGGGGCAGGACTGGGCAAGATGGGCCAGACACGCCCTGAAGCCAACCTCCTGCAGTCCCTCCCCGGCATCTGTGGAGAGATCGGGGTCCCTCCAGCAGGTGGGGTCCCTCAGCCTGGCCTGTGAGTATCGGGCAGAAACCAGCTCTCTGACATCCCCCGAGGGGTCCCGGAGTGCGAGAGGGCACTCTGCAAAGTTGCTGTCGCACAGGGTGTGAAACACAGATGCAAGTGTGCAGTAAACCAGATTCAGGGCCGACAGTGCCCCAGCAACAACATAACCCATGGCCAAAGGTGGAATCGCACGACCCCGCAAGGAATCAGGCTCCCTCCTCTCTGGTTTTGGGGTGCATCAGGCAAGAACCGTCGCTGCCAAGTCACTGCAGCTCGGCAGCTCCTGCGTTGAGCACCTGCCCCCTGGTGGTCGTGTCATAGTGACTGGTCGGAGGGGCAGAGGGACCCTTAGCATATTAGCCTTTTATATATATAGATAAAATAAAAGGGATTAAACTAGCTGACATTAGGTAGGTTCCTTCTAGCTGCCAAATTAGATAAGACTTAACCATGACTTTTTCGTTTTCAGCAATTAGGCTTGCGAATGGATATATTTGCTTTTAATAACTCTCAGTTATATTTAAGATTGAACTGTTGCCAAATCTTTGACCAGGGATACATCCCTGATCTTATATAAAAACATTATTCACATTGAAATGAGGGTTTACATGCTTTTTAGAACTACAATACTGTGAGGCTTGGACTCAGAGTGCCAAACACCAACCCCCTGAGAGCATACTTTAAGTCTTTTTTCTTCAATGTACATATGACGTAGTAGCATTCCAATCTACTGGTGACATTACATCTTTAAACAGGAAAAAACATAGTCTTTTGGGATATAAATATACCCACTTACCTTTTACTTTTTTATCAAACTTCTTCTGTTTCATTTTCTCTCGGTTTTTCTGTCGAACTTCCTTCGCTTCTTCTAATGCTTCCTGACTACCCCAAACTTCAAGAGCCCTCTTCACAATCTATAATACAGAATTCATATTTAAATTAGTTGTGATTCAGAGTTATAAATTAGTTATAATTATTAAATCCACAGGCACCAAAGAATGATCTAACTCAAGTACAATTTTATAAATATTTATTTGAATTTTAAATATTGATAAGAAACAACTCTATTAATACCTCTATCTAAACCTATGAGACCCTCAGGAAATGTATGCTAACCTCGATTGTAACCTGTGACTGTAACTGCTTCTCTGACTCATTCAGCTTTTTCACTTGAATCAACATAAGGACATATAAATCAGGGGTCTGATGAGTTTTGATAAACTCACCCCCCAAAATTTACTTATTTACTTATCAATTAGTCACATCAGATCTAAGTAGGAGGTAACCTCCAAAAATCTCCCACCACAAGAAATCAATCACTATCACTCTTCTCCTGAATCAATAATAGTTTCCATCTACTTAACTAACTTCAGATCTTTAGAATATGCATTTTTTTAAATCTTTGGTAGCTGAGTGACCTAAAAAGTCTTTATGCTACTTTTAATACTTTAGATTATGTATCTTTACTCTTTATAAAATTTATTCATATTTAAGAGAAAAATATATACACTGAGAATTATGCTCAGAATATCTCTTACAATATGGTAAGGGGGCCAAAATATCAATCAATGTAGCCAAACTCAAATCTCTTCTTAACATAAAAAGTGATATACTCTTATTTCAAACATTCTAAAATATCACATTTTCCACAATTAACCCTCTAAAAATGTTGCATCACCATGTGCTCAACAGTACTTTAACAATTCTGAGTCAAAAGTGGTTCAGGCCCGGCCGGCGTGGCTTAGTGGTTGAGCTTGGACCTATGAACCAAGAGGTGAGGGTTCGATTCCCTGTCAGGGCACATGCCTGGGTTGCAGGCTCAATCCCCACCCAGTAGGGGCCATGCAGGAGGCAGCCAATCAATGATTCTCTCATCATTGATATTTATACCTCTCCCTCTCTCTTCCTCTCTCTGATATCAATAAAAACATATATTTTTTAAAAAGTGGTTCAGAACAACTGGACACTCAATGTAAAGAAATTTAGGATACCTTAACAAAGCTGTTGTACTTGCATTTTCCTTTTTATGTACACACAAGCATGATATATAGCAAAAATGTATAATAAGTGTAATGGCACTATTTCAGTAAGTATAAAATAAAAACACCAAGGATAAGGAAGTACTGAGTCAGTTTAATGAGCACTTTTTCATTTCTGATAGTACATAAAATAGTAAATCTTCTAATCGATAGTTGTCTTATGTTCAATGAAATTCAGTGTGTGTTTGGTTTTACATGTGGCTTAATTTTATTTAAAGATATTAGGACTTTCTAGTACAGTGGGGCCTTGACTTACGAGTTTAATTCATTCCGTGACGGAGCTCATAACTCAAATTACTTGTATGTCAAATCACTGTGACGTTCGCTGCGCCAACTAGCGGTGGGGTATCTGAAGCTGGCTCGTAGCCCGAATTTTTTTGAGCTTGCAACTCAAACCAAAAAATCGGCTGAGAGAGACGGCTCGTATCTCAAAAAAACTCGTTAGTCGGGACACTCGTAAGTCAAGGCCCCACTGTATATTTTAATTCAAATTGTTCTGAATTAATGCCTCAAAAAGAATACTACAGTATTTGTACCATTCTGGGGTACATACAGGAGGCTGCCTGTGACTTAAGGCACCCAGCCTGGGCACTTCTGCAGCCCCAGGAACTAAGACTATTCAATGTCTTGGCACGCCTGTAATACAATGGCAGCAAGAGGGGTTGAGAAAATTCGCTCTGGAATATACTAGAGTTCCTTGGACACCTGAAAGGGTTTCAGATGAGTATTTCCCAATAGATTTCAGGCATCTGTGAACTTCCTGAATTTTTTAAAAAAGACTTTCGGGCCAGAGGGTGGCAGGAATACAGGGTCTGCTTCTCACTCCAAGCTTTTTTAGTTTCCCAACTGTATTCCTAACATTACTCAACGATAATACATTTGCTCCAAAGTGCTGCACCAAAAAGCAAAATAAGAAAACATGCTATTGTCATCATGAGTAACTGTGACTCACATGCAAAGCAACAAAATGCAAAGGATCTTCTTAATTCTAAAAGCAAAAACTAAACTAATTAGAACTAGTTGCTTGTTAAAACTTCACCTGTCCCAGGGACTAAAACGACTGAATAGAACTCATTAGAGACCTATAGCTGAAACCGGTTTGGCTCAGTGGATAGACCGTTGGCCTGCGGACTGGGGGGTCCCAGGTTCGATTCTGGTCAAGGGCATGTACCTGGGTTGCGGGCACATCCCCAGTAGGAGATGTGCAGGAGGCAGCTGATCGATGTTTCTCTCTCATCGATGTTTCTAACTATCTCTCTCCCTTCCTCTCTGTAAAAAATCAATAAAATATATTTAAAAAAAAAAATAGAGACCTGTAATTTTAAGTAGAGTTTCATATCACCCCATTGTGAATGACGAGGATTCTTCTTCACAATAAATTTAAGAGGTGGTTCTCTTTTTTCTAAATCACAGTCTTTCAGAAGGTATTCTTGTTTTGCTTCTGTTTTAGTTATAAGTTTGTGTTTATCATCAGCATCTCTGAAAATAAATTAAGTCCATTATATAAGTTAGCTATTAAAATAAACTAAATTTTCAAAGAGCCCAACAACCGAGTGGGATGCATACCAAAAGGAACATATAAAATACGTTTCCCTGCAGCTCTCATGGTCAAATGGGCAGCACAAAAATTCTAACAGAAAAAATGCTTTATCCTTTACATGTTCTGAGAAGCTACATTAGCAACAAATCCATATTACTGAAAATGTTAAGAATTTCTTTTCTACTTAAAGTCCCTCTTTTCCATAGATTTTTAAATAACTCATTAGAGTACAGCAAATATAAATGAGAACTAAGACTCAATAAGTAAGAAAATATAAATTAAAGCATAAAGTCAGGATGGACAGGCGATAAGGAAAGTAAATATGCAAGGTCCATCTGCCCCAACACAATTAAGTGTCCAGTTGGCTCTGAGCTTTTCAAAGTCAAGGCAAAAGTGGAGACAGTCAATTACATAGTTCTTCTCATTCATTTGTTCCCTATCTACATGCCAGGTATTGTCTGAGGCATGAGGAATACAGCAAAGAATAAAACAAAGCCTTGTTTTCATGAAGTTTACATCCCAGTGAAGGAAAAGACAGTCAATATGCAAACACCGTGACAGATAACAGTGCTATGAAGGAATATAAGAAGGTAGAGAAAGGATTTTCAGGTAGAGTGGGTATTCAGAGAAAGTCACTGATAAGGGGACTCTTTGAGTAGAGCCCTTAACAAGGCAGAACATTCTGAATAGCCAGAGAAAGAACATTTCTGGCAGAGAGAAGAGCAAACGCAAAGGCTCCAACACAAGAGTCGCTTGGCAATTGGAGCTCACAGCAAGAGGGCCACTGTGCCTAGAAAGCGTAAAGTGCATGATGGTGAGCAGTGATGAGAGATAAGGTCAGAGATAGGCAGTGACCTTCTAAGCAATGATGAAGACAATTTTATTCCAAATGGATAAGGAACCATTAAAGAGTTTTGAGCCTTGGCCAGTTTTGCTCAGTAATTAGAGTGTAGGCCTCCCGACCAAAGGGTTGGGGGTACAATTCCTGGTCAAGGGCATGTACCTGGGCTGCAGGTTCCATCCCCGGCCCTGGTCAGGGAGCGTGTGGGAGGCAACCAATTGATGTGTGTGTTTTTTTCTCTCTCTCTCCCATTCCCCCCTCCACTCTCTCTTTAAAAAAAAAATCAATGGAAAGAAATATCCTCAGATGAGGATTAATAAAACGAAGTTTTGAGTAAAAGGCTATATGGAGAAGAGACTAACAATGCAAAAGTGGGGAGAAGAGACCAGTTAAAAGATCACTACTGCAGTGGTCCGGGCAAACGCTGATGGAGGCCTAGCCTAAGGTAATGGTGGGAAAAAGGATGGGAATATAATTTGAACATGGAGCCAAATACATTTGGAATTAAACACGGGATAGCAGAGAACTAGCCAATGAAAGAAGTTGGCCTTTACTGAAGTAATGAACACTGAAGAGGAGGTACAGGTCAGGGAGGGAGACTTAAAACTGGAAATTTAAGAAAGCTAAGTAATTTGTAAGTCTCAACTGAAGGAGGAGACAGGTAAACTACACTGTACTGACTTATAATCCTGAAAGATGTTGAAAAGAAAAAAAATGGAGGACTGTGTTCCTAATTATGTCTAAATTTTACAAATATATTTTTACCACTAATTTTCTTTAAATTGATACATCAGTTGCTTTCATTTTCTCATGGAAATAGATTATAAGTGCGAATTTAGTTTCCAAAAGCTGTTGATACTTCAAGGAGAGTAGCAATAATGTGGACCTTAACCACTGTGGGCATTAATGACACTGTGTGTCAATGGGAACAGATTTTATCATTTATATTCCAATGGGTGCCAGGACATATCCAGTCACCAATGTGATCATGAAACCAGAAACAACTCCATTCTCTCCGTCTTCCAAGGATTCTACCTACAAAAGTCAATGGTGACGGCTCCCAATATCTGTAGCAGGGATGCTGAAAAGGCAGGTCCTCCCAGCAGGTCAGGAGTTAATCTAGGGCTACAGGTAAAAGAAATAGGAGTAGGAAACAGATAAGAGAGCTAAGTAAGATTCCAAGATAGGATCTTAGGTGTGAAAGACACCAACACAGGACTTGGCTGAGGTAAACAGCAGGGAGCAGAACCATTTGGAAAGAAGAATTATTCTGGGGTGATACAAAAAGAGGATAAAGGCCAGAAGAAGAAAAAGAATGGCAGAAAAATGTAATGTTTTCCTCATCTCTTTTCTTCCCTGACTGTTCAGAAGAGTAAAAAATGAATGGAAAGAACTAGGAGAGTGACTGGGCAGCTTTTAGTCTCCTCCTCTTTCATTAATGGCCCCAGTCCTCAGACCAAGGCATCAACATACACTGAGACAAGTCAGAAATGCAGATCCTTAGAGAAGGGTTAGGAACCTGCTACTGAGAGATGGGTAAAACCCCCCAGGCCAGCAGAAAGAAAAGAAAAAAACTATGGCAGAACCTGGGGCATTCCAATTTATGTGACATATTAATTTTGATAAGGCTTCCTGTATTTCTTTGGCAAAATAGAAACCATAGAAATGTTAGGGAACTACCCAAATAAAAATCATTACTAAATAAAATATTAAATTCAAATGAATTATTTTACCCTATGCCTGTATGTTAACATTCAACTTTAGCAATTGAGAACATTGTCTGAAATAAAGTAATTACCTGCAGTTATCACAAGTTGGCAAATCAAAGTGATTCATAAGATAAGAATCCATAAATTCTCTACTACATTCTTCACATATTGCATAATCAAATTCCATAACAGGTCCTAAAGAAAAGAAGATCAATTCTTTAAGTTTTCTTTTTTGTGACTAGAATACATTTTCCTCTATTTTATTAGCTTCTTGACATGTATTTTATGCCTGACACTATTTACATAAAAGACAAAATAAAATTTAAGTAATCTTATACTTACTAAAAAAAAATGTTTGATAGAAGAAAAAGGAAATAACATCAGGGGGAAAATCCCTATCAATTCATCAAGTATTTTTGAGCCCAAACCATGTGTAAGATAATTATTTAACATCAATTTGCAAAGAATTATGCACATTACCCAAAATTACCAACCTAGCCCGGCTGGTGTGGCTCAGTGGTTGAGTGTCCACTTATGAATTCAAGAGGTCAAGGTTCGATTCCTGGTCAGGGCACCTGTCCAAGTTGTGGGCTTGATCCCCACTGCAAGAGGCAGCCGATCAATGATTCTCTCTCATCTTTAATGTTTCATCTCTCTCTCCCTTCCTCTCTGAATTCAATAAAAATATATACTAGTATTTTTTAAATGACCCACTGAGATTCCTATTTTCTGAAAACACATTTTACCTGGCTCATGAACAACTTTTCCAACTGTATGTTCTTCTTCTCCTTCCTCTTCCAGAATGAAGCCTCCATGTGTATCAATTATCTTTGGGGCAGCTTTTATGTTAGTCATGCCTATTAAAAAAAAAGTAAAAGTGGTCAACCTATGAGCTAGGTAAGCCCATATGCTCCCTTTTGCATAAACAGAAATTTTCCTTAAATTTAATATGTATCAAACAAAATAAGAAATGTCCACTATAATCACTTCTATCCAACATTAAAGGTTCCAGCTAGTGCAATATGACAAGAAAACAAAACAGGCATAAAGGTTGGAAAGAAGTAAAACAGTCTTTATTCACAGATGATCTGATTATATATGTAGAACATGCACAGGAATGTACAATTACAATTAAAAAATAACACCCAGGGCCCTGGCCAGTGGGGCTCAGTTGGTTGGAGCATTCTTCCATACTCTGAAAGATCACAGATTCGATTCCCAATTTCGGCATATGCCTGGGTAAAAGGTTCAGTCCCCAGTTTGGGGGGAGGCGGGGGGCACACAGGAGGCAACCAATCAATGTTTCTCTCACATCAATGTTTTTCTCTCTCTCCCCTGCCCCCACCCCTTACTCTCATTAAAATCAATAAAGGCATATCCCTCAAGTGCAGATTTAAAAAATAAATAATAAACAAATAAATAGCACCTTGAAAGAGATTTCTGGTCAAGATGGTTATGTAGATAAATGTGGTACTTGAATCCTCCCACAAACACATAAAAATTACAACTAAACTATAGGAAAACTATCATTCAGAATTGCCTAAAATTTAGCTGAATGGAAATCCTACAACTAGGGATTTAAAGAAGCAGCCATGTAACGCTGGTAGGAGGGGCAGAGACTCAGAAAGGGCTGGTTCCACACCCATGTGTGGCAGATGAAAATTGTCTCAATTGTGGAAGTCCTCCCTTAGGAATGAGAAGTGCCAGACCTACACCAGGCCCCAAGCCCAGGGTTATAGTGCCAGGAAGAGAAGCCCCCATAACTTATGGCTGTAAAAACCAGGAGGGATTGTGGCTGAGCAAAATGAAGGGTTGCTGGAGTCCCAGGCAGTTCTTCTCAAAGGGCCCATGCACAGACTTACTCGGACTCACTCTCCGAGCTTCAGTGCTGGGGCAGCAACTTGAAAGGAACCAGGGGCATAGGAGGAGGAAATGAATTGTCTGGCATCAGGGTCAGAGCCGGGGGTACAGCTTTCTGCCAGACAAAAGTGCGCCCTAGCCGGTTTGGCTCAATGGATAGAGCGTCGGCCTGTGGACTGAAGGGTCCCGGGTTCGATTCCTGTCAAGGGCACATACCTTGGTTGCATGCTCGGCCCGGGCCCTGGTCAGGGCTCGTGCAGTAGGTAACCAATCAATGTGTTTTTCTCATCGATGTTTCTCGCTGTCTGTCCCTCTCTCTTCCACTCTCCCTAAAAATCAATAGAAAAATATCCTCACATGAGGATTAACAACAACAAAAAGTGCTAGCAGAGGCCATGGTTCCTTTTCTGAGCCGCGCACCCCCACCTCCCAGGCCCGAGCCATATCTGAGTCTCCATCAACCTGGCTCATACTGTCTGCCCAGCCCTTGTGATTCTGAGGCCCTGCCCCACACAACTTATGAGCCCACCCAAGGTGTTTTCAGTGGCTTTTCCATCTGAATGGTTTGTCATGGCTCATGCTTTTTTTGTTGTTGTTAATCCTTACCCGAGGACATTTTTCCATTGACTTTTAGAGAGTGGAAGGGAGGGGAAGAGACAGAGAAACAGTGGATGTGGATGGACATATCGATTGGTTGCCTCCCATTTGCAGCCCAGGGCCAGGGATCAAACTAGCAACTGAGGTATGTGCCCTTGACCAGAATCAAACCTGGGGACCTGTCAGTCCTCAGGCCACGCCCTATCCACTGAGCCAAACTGGCTAGGGCCTGGCTCATGCATGGACTTCCCTAAAATCTCTTAAACAAGCAACATCTGGCCTCAGAATGCCTGGTACCTCTCACTGAGTGGCCCTAGGCCCGGCACTGGCAGCAGCCAGCCTTGGTTCGAATCCTGGACTTGCCTGAGCACCACCAAGCCCAACACCAGGGTGAGAGATGCCCAGTGTAGCAGAGGAGGTAGAGGGGCGGAGGGGACCCGATCCCAGTGTCAGATGCCCTGAGTTCTAGAGCTGATCGGCCTGCGCACTTGCCGGGATGAAACGAACCAACCCCTTTCCTTTTCTGGTCCTCAATGACCACTTCATTAAAACAGATTCCAAACTTTGCCCTAACCATTTTCCCGGTTAGCTCTGAGAATCACATTAGCTCATTTGAAACACGTGAAGCGCAACAGGTGCTCCTCAGTGAGCCCCACAGAGAGGGTCGCTAATGTCCATCTGCTTCTTTTGGCGCCCTGCAGTAGCAAGCCCTCGGCTGGGCACGGAAAGTGCCCTCAGCCGCCCTCGGAGGACGAATGCGGGAGCAGGTGCAGGTTATTGACACGGTGAAGGTCTAAGAGTTTTACAAAGGTCCGCCTCCGGTACCTGGAAGCTGCAGGAAGAGGACAGACAGGGGCAGCCGAGGCGCTGACCGGCGCTGGCGCGCCCACCTGCCGGCGAGTGCAGCGGCTTTAAAAGCTAAGGACCGCGGCCCGGGGGCAGCGAGGGCGGCCCGGCGACAGCGAGGCCGGCCCGGGGCTGGGAGTCAGGGAGCCGGGTTCGACCGCGGAACCGTCCCGTGGGCCGGGACTGCTCGCTTCGACAAGACCCTAGCGGACGCCCCGACCCAGGACAGCGGGAGGGTGTGCGCGCAGACCCGAGGGGGCTCGACGCCACACAAGGGACCCGGCACCCGGTCCCCCAGCAGAGAGAGAGGGCAGCGCCGCCAGGACCCAAACCTCCGGTAGCCGCAACCGCCGTCGCCGGGTAGGGCCGGGCCGCCAACCGGGCCTGGCGCAGCATCAGCGCCCGCTGCCGCTTCCGCTCGATGCTCGCCCGCACGGAGGCAGGCAGCTCCGCCGGCTGTTCCGAAGCCGCCGGCTGCGGTGAAGTTTCCCCGGCCGCCGCCATCGCCAATCTCAGCGAACTTGGTCTCCAGCCCCGCGCACGCGCAAGCGCACGCGCAGGCGCCCCGAGCAGCCCCGGAGGGAAGCGCGCCTGCGCGATTGGAGGGCGGAGGGAGCGGCGGCGGCTGAGTCTGCGCGCTGGCGGGGACCGGGAATAGCTGCCGGTTTATAAACCGGGGGTAAGCGGTGCCGAGATCGTTTTCTTCGGGACTTGGTCATCTTTAAAGTAACAGTTTCGCTTGGTGGTTTAGAATCTAGGCTTTGGAGTCAGACCTAGGTTAAGTCCTACTCTGACACCATCTGCGTGATCTTGAACAAGTTATTTAACCTGAATTCAGTAGTAAAATGATAACTACGGAACCCCTTCCCGGTTGTTGGGAAGATTAGATGTAGACTTTGAACACAATGCCTGGCACAGTAAGCTTCCCAAAATGATAGCAGCTGGTAGTAATAATGTGTCAATCAAGAGAAACCCCGAGATGATGGACCTGGCTTTCCTTTGGACAGAGCCTTAGGTTTGAGAGGAGAACACCTGCGTTCAAACGCTCACTTGCTGTGTGAGCTCAGGCAAAGGCAGCTCCTGGTCCCAAGGTTGGTATACGAGGTGTACCGGTTAATAATGCGGATTTTTTCAATAGCTGGAGTTACACAGATGTTGATATGTATGCTATTTTGTTGTATTGCTCCTTCAGGTTACCACTTGTTCTGACCCATGGCACGCGCACTTTCTGAGCTGCACTTCAAAACGTACCAAGAAGTGGAAAATTGGGTCTCTGAATGGTTTGCCTCAAAACAAGAAAAGTTCTATTGGGATGGTATCCACAAATTACCTGAAAGATGGGGGAAATGTGTAGCTAGTGATGGACATTACTTTGAATAAAGCACTTTTGATGTTTCTCTTGAAATTATCGTGTTTTCTTTGATTACAAAATCCACATTATGGTTAATAATCTGGATTAATTATTAACCAGTTAATAATGTGGATTATTAACCAATATTGCAGATTAGTTATTAACCGGTTAATAATATGGATTAACTTTCAACTGGTTAAAATGCAGATTAATTATTAACTGGTTAATAATACGGATTTTGTAATCCAAAGAAAACACAATTTCAAGAGAAAAATCAACAGTGCTTTATTCAAAGTAATGTCCATCGCTAGCTACACATTTCCCTCATCTTTCAGGTAATTTGTGGATACTGTCCCACTAGAACTTTTCTTGTTTTGAGGCAAACCATTCAGAGACCCAATTTTCCACTTCGTACGTTTTGAAGTGCTGCTCAGAAAGTGCGTGTGCCATCGATCAGAACAAGTGGTAATCTGAAGGAGCGAGGTCTGGTGAATATGGCTGGTGTGTTAATACTAATGTATATTCTGAAGAACCTATATAAAGCAGGTAAATGTTCAGATCTACTGGTTGAACTGGAGATAGAAATGTCAAGCCATTCTTATTGCTTTTCCCCTCAGGTCCCTCTTTCTCCCTCTCTATCTTGTCCAGGTGATAAAATCTCAAATTATATGTAACACCAAAAGCACAAGCAAGGAAATAAAAAATTCTATAAGCTGGCTAAGTTGAAAACGTGGGCATTAAAGAACGCTATCAAGAATGTGAAAAGGCAACTTACAAATGGCAGAAATATTTGCAAATTATATATCTGAAAAGGGGCTAGTATTCAGAATATACAGGGTGTCCCCAAAAATGTATACACACTTTGAATGATTACCAAGTCAGTGTTTATTAACATTTAATTTTCAAAATTAAGTAAGTTATCAGCTGTTAAAGGGTATATACATTTTGGGGGGGGACACCCTATATAAATAACTGTTACAATCCACTAACAAAAAGGCAAAATAGCCCAGTTTTTAAACGAGCAAAGGGCTTAAGTAGACATTTTTCTAAAGAAGATATACAAATAACCGATGAATACATAAAAAGATACTCATCTTAGTTATTAGGGAAGTACAAATCAAAAGCACAATGAGAAACCACTTTACACCCAATAAGATGACTAGAACTAAGAAAAACAAAATAGTAAGTTGACAAAGATGTGGACAAATTGGAACCCTCATGCATTGTGGGAGGGAATATAAAATGCTGCTATATAAAACAGTTTGGCTATTCTTCAAAAATGTTAAACATAGAAATACCATATGAGTCAGCAATTCCACAACTGGGTATAAACCCAAAAGAATTGACAACAGAGTTCAAACAAAAAACAAAAGTTTGAAATTACCCTAATATCTATCAAATGGTGGATGGGTAAACAAAATGTGGTATATCCATGCAAAGGAATATTATTCAGCCATAAAAGGAAGAAAGTACGATATATGTTAGAACATGGATAACCCTTGAAAACGTTATGCATTCCTTTTATATGAACTATATGAATAAGCAAACTCATAGTGACAGAAAGCCAATTAGTGATTGCCAGGGGCTGAGGGAAGAGGGGACTGGGGAATGACTGCCTATGAATATAGGTTTTCTTTTTGGGGTAATGAAATGTTCTGGAGCTAGATAGTGGTGAATGGGCCCAGGCGATCAGTGGAAGTTAATGAACCTGGTCAGGTGTGGGACTTGAGCAAACTGGAGTGAGGACACCTCTTAAAAGAGTCAGCTACTACACAGACCCCATGGGTAGTTGTCAAGACAGCATTTGGGCCCACTATTGCCAGATTGCCCAATGCTTCCAGAAACGTAACTGCTTCTCAAACGGTAAGCACATACGAGTCCCCTGGTGAGCTTGTTAAACTGCAGATTCTGATTCAGTAGGTCTGTGGTGGAACCTCAAGAATGTGCATTGCTAACAAGCTCCCAGGTATGCTATAGCTCCACTAACCACAATGAATAGTAAGGGTCCCCGCTCACAGGTTCTCAAACTTGGCAGCACACTGGCAGCATCCAAGGAGTTGAGCCAGTGCATGCTTAGGCCCTACCCCCAGAGAGATTCCGATATCATTGGTCCGGGATGGGATCTGGGTGTCGGGATTCTGTAAAGTACCCTCCCTACCCTCACCCCTTTACCCCTACATACTTCTAATGGGCACCAAGTTTGAGAGCCAGAACCCCATGTGACCCTTTTAGACTCGACAGCTCTAAGAGTCTCTGGGGGCTATGCAGTATTTCTAAAGAACAAGGTAACAGTTCTTCCCCAAAGTAACCTTTTGAGAATAATCAGCCCCAAGAGCCTCCTCCCCAACAAAGCACAGCTGAGATGCTGTACAAGCCCTGGCGTTTCGTAACTCTTGACAACCTGCTGGGTCTCCTCTTACAGGTAACTCCCTCTCCTCTGGCTTCCTGGCCTTTGTTAGAAAGTTTCATGTAACTGGGTCTGAATTGTTAGCTGACGCCTCAGCCAAGCAAAAACCTTTAGAGAAAGGAAAAAGAGTGCATGCCCCGATCTGTACCTCTCACAGGGTGACAGAGGCTGTGGGGCTTGCCCAGAGGGCAGCAGCATGAGTCATCTCCATGAGGGCACAAAAGGAAAACAGGCAAGGAGAATGGGCCAATGGATGCATTCTTGCCTCTCCCCATTTACAGTCTCGGGGAAAACCTGTGACTACATCTCTCTTCCTGCTTTGTACCTCTCTCATCTCCCAGACCAACTGTGATCCTGGCTGAAAGAGGGGTGCTTAACAAAGCACAGAAAGAATGGAAAGCCCGGACCCAAGCGTGAGGAGCAGCAGGTAGGTAAGAATGGAAGCCAGGAAGGGGAAAGAGAAACTTGGCAGTGTTTCCTGACAGGCCTCCTGTCTAAGAGCATTACTGGGGTTATTCATGCCGAGATGACAGGATGTGAACATATTTGTCTTTATGATCTAGTAAATAGCACATGTGTGTGGCTTTCTTTTTTATTTCCATTTTCACCCTGATTCCCTGGGGCTGTCCCCCTTAATGTGGTCACTTTGAACATAGTTGGCATCAGTTCATAATAGGAGAACATCTGGTGAGAAGGAGCACGCCACGGGGGAAACTGTCTGGGACAAGGATGCAGAAACACAGAAATTAGTCTGATCCTGTTGACTTAAGCTGTATTGATTTAGTAATCCAGGAAATGCAGTCTCTTTTTGCTGTGATTGACCAGGCAAACACTCCTGGAGAAACTTAGATTTCAATCTCCGTGAACCAAAAGATAAAGGGATTAAGGAAAAAAACATCATATTGGAAATTTGATCAATAAAATGTCTGCGTGTGTGCAAAGGGATTTAGGAAGCATCTTAAAGACTCACAAGAACTTTCTCTCCAAAAGCTATAAGGGGTGGGAGGGTCCAAATGATTCAACTAAGGACAGGGCCCAGAAAAAATGACTGTCAGCACTGGAACCCAAAACCCTTTGTCACTCCTGGATCTCCCATACTCTGCATTCCCCAGATCATAAATACAGCCCAGGGGACCTTGTTTCTTACTGCCTCTTCCGAGAAGCCTGCCCTGACTTCCTCCTCTGGCTGCCTATGAACCTCATGTGCTGGTGCTGTGGCATTTACCACACCTGCTATCCTTACTAGATTCTCAGGTCCTTGAGAACTGGGACCATCTGATTTATCTCAAATCTCTGGGACTTAGCACAATGTCTGGCACAGAGTAGCTGTTCAGTAAATGTCCGTGGAATTAAATAGAATGATAATACTGACCAAGCCTAGTTAGATGTTTCACCAGCACTGAAAATTCAAGGTCCAAAGCTGAACCCTACAGCCACCTTGGTTCTGCTTATACACCTGCAATGGTAAAGAATACTCCACTTCAGAACAGCCTATTCCACTGCTGTCTAGCTTTAGCCATTACATACTGCACTAACAATAGTAACAATAATAATAACAAACACTTATATTGTGCTCGTGGTTTTGAAAGCATTTTAAATGTATTTAATTTTTATAACTACTTAATGAGTATTTTCACTCATCTCAGTTTATAGATGAGACAACGAAGGCATGGAGATGTTAAGTAACCTGTTCAAGGCGACAAGAATGAAAGTAGCATCTGAGCTGAGGGAGGTGTTCTTCTCACTGTTTTGGGCTGTTTGGAGCGTATCTGGAGCCTGTGCCCACTTCTGGACACCACCAAGGGAATTTGAGCCAGGGCGCGGCCAGGTTAGAGGGAAGGGCTAGGAACCCTATCATGGAAGAAATGCTGAGAGGGAGGCCAATGCAGAAGGCTCGTGACCAAGGTGCCAATCTCCAAAGGACTGCTGGGGCGGCGGGCACAGAGGTGGGCTGCAGCCTGTGTGTTCTCACTGAGCCGGAGATTCACGGCGGTCTCACTGGGCAGGGTTTCGTCTCCCTTCAGATCACCAGGCCCAGGTCTGCACTCATGGCCTTCTCTCGTGGCCCCACGTCTCTCCGGAGTTGAAGACAGAAGTGGCAACAGGATGAGAGTCTGACCCAAGGTCCACGCTTCTGGGACAGGAATGCACCCGAGACCCTGCAGGGAAGCAAATTCACGTTGTCATGGGGCCCACGCTTGCAATGAAAACAAGTGAAGCTGGTTGGGCACTGGCCTTTTAAATGTACAGAAATAGTTTCACTTCCACAGATAAATGTGTTGAGCCTATTTTCCTTACAACAAATGACTTGGTCTTTTATTTTTCCTTTTTGACAAAGACGTAATAAGAAAAATGTTTTTACTTTTGTTTTTTATAATAAAATAAATAAACACAGCATATGTGCAATGAGAAATGGTGTCACCAGTCATCCTTGTTGCCGGGGCAACAATAGGGAGCTGAGGAGGCAGCTGTGACTGGGCTGAGGCAGGTCCAATGAGGCTAAGCCTTCCATTTTGTTAGAGGAGCAGCTAGAAATCTGGGTTTTTATATAAAACCTTCCAATTTCTAAAGGTTAACACTGACGCTCAAAAAACAACATGCAAGCTTTGTTGAATCCCTCTACAACATCTCTGTTGTATGATCTTCCTAGCTCTGCTTGCTTATCCCTGGGATGGGAGCTCACACCCACAGAAGCAGTTTCTGTCTATGGACTGCTGTCACCACTAGGAACAGATTTCTCACAATAAGTCGAAACTGATCACTTTATAGTACACCAGCCCAACCACCCTGACCTGCCCAGCCTCTGCATTAGTCCTAACCCTAGACTGCAGCCTCTGGGCCACTTCATTCATTCATTCATTCACGCAATCATTCACTCACTCATTTGCATGTGCATGTGTGTGTGCGTGTGCCTGTACACACACACGCACACACACACACACACACACACACACACACACACACACCAGGGACTAATTGCACAGCATCTGTTGAATTCGGTGAATCATGATGCGAGCTACCTGTGAGCAGAAAATGTGTTTTCTTTGTCCCTGAGTCTCTTGGAACCTCCTTACCACATCAGGCCTAGAACAGAGAAAGTCCCAGCGAATCCCCAGGTGGGGACACTGCCGCTTCCCAATTCCTCTTCTGGATAAAGGCTGTCAAGAAGTTTCTTGCAGACCTTGCATGTGCCTCTCCTGAGCAGCAGCTGGCACAGTGACTAGGAACAGCATTTTCTGGCCCTGTGGCCCCAAGCAAGTCACTGATGTCCCAGCCCAGGCCTCCCCATGTGTTAAATAGGGGCGTTAATGCCTACTTCGTGGCATATTTTGAGGTTATCTTTTTTAAAAAATATATTTTTATTGATTTCAGAGAGGAAGAGAGAGGGGGAGAGAGGTAGAAACATCAATGATGAGAGAGAATCATTGATGGGCTGCCTCCTGCAGGTCCCCTACTGGGGATTGAGCCCACAACCCAGGCATATGCCCCTGACTGGAATTGAACCTGGGACCCTTCAGTCCACAGGCCAACACTCTACCCACTGAGCCAAACTGGCTAGGGCTTGAGGTTATCTATAAGTCTTTTTAAGAGGGAAGTGCTACATTGACTCGAGGAAGTGGGAAGAAGTTGGAGTCCCACTGGGCTACAACTTTGGGCAGACAATTGAATCTCCATGAGCCTCAATTTCCTCTTCTACAAAATTGCCTACTCTACCTGCCTGTTCTTTGGATTCGAAATTAGAAATAATGATGCATGTTGAATATCCTGCACTGGAGGTTCAGGGAAGGGGGAACTGTTGTTGCTGTTACTGATAACCAGTAGAGGGCACCAAACTATTCTATAATGAAATGAAATGAAAGAAATGAAATAATGAAATGAAATGAAATGAAATGAAATGAAATCATCTTGGTAGCCTAGCCACAAAGGCAAGGAAAGGAGATCCACCAAGTAGGAAGCTTTACACACACACACACACACACTCCTTTTTTATTGGAAAGTCAGAAATTATGCTTTACATCGTGCTATTAAGGGAGGGGTGGGGTGTGTGTGGATCACTTATTGACACAAGTAGCTTAGGATTCCAAAGAAGGCTCTCCTAGCAGGGGTTCTTGTCCTTGCCCTAGTCCTTGTGTGGTGTGACCTTGGACAAGTCCCTGCCTGTGTCTGGACCCTTTCTGAAGCCCAGGAGGGTTGGGTCAGGTGCTAAGGGATCCTCTAGTGTCCATGACTAAGATTTGAGGACAAATACATTTCAGGAAACATGCAGGTGGTGGGGTCGGGTGGACAAAACGTCCTCTGGATGCCCTTGCTGGGCTGGGCCTTGATGATTTATCCACAGGCCAGGGGAGCCACATTTGCCTGGTCCCGGCCTCACAAAGGAGTGCGGTTAGAGCTGTTGGGTGGTGGCAGTGTGGTTCTGCAAGTGCACATGATGCTTATCATCTTTTGTGCAGGTTGATGGCGAAGCCACGGAGACCACCCAGCCTGACAAAGAAAGGAATTCTTGTCTGCAGTTGACAGCCCTCAGGTTGACGGCTTTCCATTTGCCTGGGAGGCTGTCACTGGCAGAACAATGGCAACGAGCAGGGTGGCTCTCACCTGAGACGGACGGGCGCTGCCGCCAGGAGGGGGAGGAGGCAGGCCAGGCCTGGGGTGGGGGTGGCTGTTGTCTCTCCTCCCAGGATATGCAGGCTGCACGACCTCCCCAGCCGGCAGCAGGCGTGGAGAGGCTGTGGAGAATTATTCTGTGCGTAGATGATTGCGTCTCGATCGGAAAGCAGCAAGTATTTACTCTTCATTAAGAAAAATTATAATGAATTACTGATACACACAAAGCATAAATCAATCTCAAACGCATTATGTGGAGTGAAAGAAGCCAGGCACAAAAAGAGTACATAGGGCGTAACTCCATTTCTATGAACTTCTAGAGCAGACAAAACTAAGCTGCCGTGATAGGATCTCGAGCAATGCTGCCTCCTGGGAGAGGGAAGGCCGCCTGCGCAGGGCATGGAGGAACTTTCTAGGGGATGGAAGCTTTCTACGTCTTGATTGATTCCTACCACTGGTGATGACAGGAGTGCATCGTAAGTCCCTTTGCAAAACTCTGTACACTTAAAAATCCATGCATTTTACTGTTTGCACATTATACTTCAATAACAGTGATAAAAACAGAATTGCAAAAAAAGTTTCATGACTTTTCTCAAAATAAATACATGTCCACACTACAAGACTGAAAAAATACAGGCACGTTTTTAAAATAAAATTTTAAAAAGAAATAAAAATCATTTTAATCCCCTTACCCAGAGGTAAGCACGATTATCATTTTGATATTGATAGTACCAGGTCTTTATTTTCACAAAAATGAAATCAGATAGGTTTGTAAGCTGCATTATCATTAATTTGTTTATGCATTGAATTGGCAATACAAATACACAGTTAAAACTTCAAAAGGTACAAAAGGGCATAAGTTAAAAAAGAAATCTCTCTTCTAGTTCCTCTCTCCAGAGCACTTACACCCATCATTTATTTGTATATTCTCCTAAAGATATGTTATGTTATGCATTTACAATCATACATGCATGGTGAACCTCAAGGAGAAAAAACATGGTAACTTACTGTTCACACAATTTGCACCTGTATCAACCTGTATTTTTAATATAATGTGACAACATGAATTTCTTTTCATGTCATTAAAATTCTTCTACCGTGTCAGTTAAAGTACACTTTTGACTAAAGCAGAAGATAAAAACAGAAATATGCAAAAAAAAATTATGTCTAAACCTCAAAGTGTTTTCATAAATTGAATCTACTTTTATATTCAGTACCAATATAAAATAATAGGTCATTTACCAGCATCCCCAAAAAAACCTTCTGATCCTCTCCTAAAACATACCCACTCCCTCAAAAGTACCCACTATCCTGACTTCTAATTTTTAATGGGGTTAGCCTGGTTTTTGAACCTTTGGATTATACAGGATTTATTCTTATGTCTATATTCTTTCACTCAGTAGAATATGAATGGGATTTATTCATGTTTTAGCATATAGCAACAGTTCATACACACTTGCTACCATGCAGTATTCCTTTGTATGAACATATCACAATTGATTTATCCATTCTACTGTTGGTGGACATGGGGGTTGCGTCCAGGTTTGGGCTCTCACAGCTGCTATGAGCATCCTTTAGGTGTCTTTTGGTAAATATATGTATGCATCTCTGCTGTACATATGCTCAGGAATGCAATTGCTAGGTCATGCGGTCTGTGTATGTTCAGCATTAGAACAAGTAGTCTCCAAAATGGTTACGCCCATTTCCACTCTCTCCTGCTGTACAAGAGTTCCCATTGCTTTACCTCCTCACCTACACAGTCCATTTTCATGGCTGCGTAGAATCTCAGTATACGGATATGCCATATTTATTTACCTGTTTCCCCTAGTTCAGGGATTCCTGACTCTTTTTGTGCCCTAGACACACTGGCGCTCTGATAAAGCTTAAGGACCCTTCTCACAATACGACCTAGTAAAGCATAAACTTCAGTATTAACACGCTGGGGACATCTAGCAACAGGTCTAATGATCGTGGTAACGTCAAAATTCCAAAATGAGCATAAACAGAAAAATGTTTATTGACCTTTTGTGCTGCTTTTCCTATGAAATGCGTATCTTACTTAGCTTTTGCCAATTTCTAAAATAACCTATTTATTTTCAAATTTTATATAAGAACTCCTTGTGTATTATAGATATGAATCATCTGTGAAATGTTACAATTTTTTTCATTTGTCATTAACTTTGCCATTTCATTTCTTAATAACAGCTCTATGTTTTTTAAATAATAGCTTTATTGAGAAATAATTCACATACCATAAAATTCACCCTTTTAAAGTATACATTTTAGTGGCTTTTAGTATACTCATGGAGTTATGAAACCCTCACCACCATCTAATTTCAGAAAATGTTCATCACCCCAGAAAGAAACCTCAAACTCATTAGTAGTCACTTAATTTCCCCAGACCCCAACTCCTGATACCACTAACCTATTTGTACTTCTATTCAGTACAGACTAATAAGATTAGCCCATTCTGCCTATACATGAACATACATACCAGTATGTGGTCTCTTACGATTGCCTTCTTTCACTCAGCATAATGCTTCTTTGGCTT